TGGTGATGATGGTGATGGTGGTGATGGTGGTGATGATGGTGATGGTGGTGATGGTGATGATGGTGATGGTGATGATGGTGATGAATGTGATGGTGGCAGTGATGGTGAAGATGGTGATGATAATGGTGGTAATGGTGGTGATGGTGATGGTGGTGATGATTATGTTGGTGATAGTGGTGGTGATGGTGATGGTGATGATGGTGGTGATGTTGTTGGTGGTGATGGTGATGATGGTGATGATGGTGATAATGGTGATGGTGATGGTGAAGATAGCTATGATAGTAATGGTGATGACAGTGGTGATAGTGATGGTGATGATAGTGATGTTAGTGATGGCGGTGATGGAGGTGTTGGTGATGGTGATGATGGTGATAATGGTGATGGCGGTGATGGAGGTGATGATAGATGGTGGTGATGGTGGTGATGGTGATGGTGATGGAGGACAACCAGTGGGACTCCACCCTCCTTGCCCTGCCTTTGTCCCAGCTCAGGTTCTCTGGTATGAAACTGTAGCCAAGCCAGGTTTTTCCCACTCAGGGCATCGACAATTAACATATTAGCCCCAGGTCTTTAGATTTTTGTACTAAAATGATGGGCCTCAGCGCTCAGCTCACTACAGCTGCTGAGAGCACCAGTTCTGACTAAGCCCTGCTGTGGTGCCGAGAGCCCTGTGCACCCCTTCTCCATCTGGTTCTAGCTGGACAGACTCCCTGGTGGTGTTTTCTAGAGGCCAGCCCTACCGCAAGCCTCAGTGAGATGCCACCTTTGACCTAAAGGGCTCAGGTCTAACAGGGCTGACGAGGGAGGCAGTTCCAGAGGTCTTTGTTAGCAGGGTTCAACCCCAACATGGACAAGCCACCAGCTCAGCCTTCCTGGATGGACCTGTGAGGCTCCGTGAACCTGGCCCTGCCCAGGCAATGCCGGCACCCTGCTCACACTGGACTGTGTGAGGACAGGACTGTTCAAATAGTGAAGTGAGGGAACATTTGAACAGACCAGGGAAGGCGTCTGGAGTCTGAGAAGGGACGGCAATGCCCCGAAACCTTCTATGGTAGGTGCTGTGCTGCGGGCTCCACTCCAGCACCACAGGAGACAGGGTCCCACTCCCATCATACGCTGTGGCCTGCTCTGCTATGCCCCTGCGCTGAGCAACCTGCCCAGACTCTAGGGCTCTGACCTTGAGGGCTTGGGAGCTTTCCAGGTGGAAGATGCTGTCCGTTGGGGATGCCACCTCCTGGGGGTCCGGGGAAGTGGCTTTCTGTTCACTGCTCCAGAGGGGGGCTCCCTCTGCACCAGGCTGGGAGAACTCCTTGGAGGTCAGTGACTCCACCTGAAAAGTTTCTCCTGCTGGCCAGACGGAGACAGAGCAAGGTGAGGCAGTGCAGAGGTGGGCCCAGGCCTAGGTTGTGATGGGGGCAGTTAGGATGGGGTCATTATCTGTAAATGGGTCAGGCCTGTGGCCTGGGCTTGGAAGTTGGGGCAAGGCCATTCTAGGGTTATGGCTGAGATCAGGGTTGGGTTTGGGGGTAGATTTAGGGAGAGAAGTTCAAGGTACTGGTGTGAGTCCACCCGAGCCCGTGGTTGGGGTGGGACAGGTGTGCCAATGGTGGCCCGCATAGGCTCACCTTTTTGGCGCATCAGGAGCTGGTAGAGATGGCCCACCCCTTCCAGGCTGGAGCGCTGGATGGCCCTATCCGGGTCCTGGCACAGAATCCCCAGCATGCCCACTAGCTGCCCGATGTGTTTGAGGCTCTCCTTTGGCTGTGTTGAGAGTGCAGGGGACCACTGAAGGCAGAACCTACCCACAGAGTCCCCAGGCGGCCATGCATGCACCCAGCCCAGCCGAAGGGTCGGAAGGATCCCCTCAGATTGTGTGGCCGGGCCAGGCTAGAGAGTGGGCGAAATAAAAGGCTGCCAGAAGACTTAGCAATCAAGAGAGATGATGTTACTGTCAACACGATAGTAAAGAAATCAAAATGAACACAAACAAAAAAGTGTGACAACCTTAAGTAAAAACAGGATCTAACCCTACCTGACCCCAATCCTGGCCCTGGTTCCAGTAAAACTTCATTGATGAAAACAGGTGGCCAGCCTATGGGCCACGGTCACATCAATCACGGGGCCCACTAATCACATTAAAGCAGGGTTAATCTTGATTGTGGAGTTCCTGGCACTCCTGTAGGGCCTGAGGCCATCACCCCTCACCTGCCTTACCCTGGTCCCAGTCCTGTGGTGTGGACGTGGGTTTTGAGCAAACTGAAGCCACTTTAAATCCCTCTAGGACTGCAATGACCTTTCCTTGGTGGCACGACCCTGCCCTCTGCAGTCCTGTGCCTCCCTGCCCTGGAGCGGTCCCCAGCCTCCTGTAGTTAATGGTGACTGGCAGAAGCTCCGGCGGCTGCAGTGAGCCAGGTTCCCACAGCCCAGGACCTCAGGGGCCATGGCGCAGGGGAGGCCCACTGGATGCAGGCAGTGGGAAGGGGTGTTCCACGCTGCACCCCTGGGCCCCCACCAGGTGCAGGCTTGGGTTCAGAGCCTGTTCACAACCTGCAGCTCACCTGACTCCCACCACACCTCTCAAGGAGGAGCCATTTCCACTCATTTTACAGGTGAGATGCAGAGGCCAGGGGAAGAGAAACACTGCCCCAGGCCACAAACTGCATGGCTAGAGCAGCCTCCTGGGTCAGGGGCAGTGTCCTCCTGGTTCAGAGCCCAGCAGAGAGACCTTGACCAGGGTCCTTTTCCCCCAGCCTGTTTCTTCAAGTTCTGAAGAGGGTGAGGACACTCTGTAAAGGGGACATTACCTGGGCTGCCATGGAGCCCTGTGGGGGTTGCAGGGGGCTGAAGTATACGCTCTGGCCTGGAGGTGTGGACACAGGCCCTCGAGCTCCGCCAGAGCTCCCCTGCAGGCTGCAGGGTCCCTGGGCTCCGGGGCAAGAAGCCCCGCTGCAGAGGGCATCTGGGGCCCGGTACTCACATCTAGGCAGCGTTTGTGGTTCAGGAATTTGAGGAGAGTCACGCAACTGTGCACAGCCCGCTGCCGCTCATGCGCCTTCTCCGATGCCAGCCAGACGTACAGGTGCTGCAGGATGGGCGGGGTCGGGGGCCATCTGCAGCCCGGGGAAGTGAGGCCCCGCCCACCACTGGCTCGGGCCCCGCCCCCAGCCCCGCCCTCGGCTAGGCTCCTGGGCTTCGCTGGCTGGTTCTGTCTTTCCCAGGCCACCAGCCGTACAGCTGCCCAGTCCTTCTGTTCCCAGGAGTCCTGCCACGGGCGTGGCCATTTTCTCCCATGGGAAGCCCTCTGGGGCTCCGGTTTCTTAACCTGCCATGTGCCCTAAGCCCTTTCTAGACCCGGGGTCACAGGGCGCTAGACATCTTGGCCAGGCTGCGGCTGGGCTGGGCTGGGCTAGCCACCTCAGCCTGTCTGTGGGGCGCAGTGCGCTCCCTGAGTTGGGGTTCTGAGGAGGGTGAGGACACTCTGTGTTTGGAGCCTGGGGAGCCTTTATGACTTCCGGTGCTGGCAGCCACGGCCCCTCTGGAACACCCAGGGGGCTGTCAGGCTACTTGCCAGGCAGGTGGCACTTGCTCCTGCCCACCTCCCACTCCTGACTTCTACCTGTGTTCCCAGGCCCCCAGACCCTGCTTCACCTCAGCCCAGCTCCTCGCCCAAGCCAGAGGGGTCCACCCTGCTGCCCTGACCTCCGCCCTACCCACTGCACCCACCTTGCTGCCCGCTGGTCAGGAGAACTCCTCCACACCCACACCCCTCCTTTGACCCTGTGCCCTCTGCTTTGGGGCCCTTTCCTGGCCAGGGACCTCCTTAGTCCTCACTCAGGGCGAGTTGATGAGGGCCCACTGGCCCTGACCTCTGACTGTCTGGCCAGCCCCTATGCCTGGGTGGTCACTGCCCCGTGATGGTCTCCCTCCTGACCCAGCAGGACTCCTGGAGGGCAAGCCAAGGTGAGAGCCACAGGCTGAGGTCGGGGTCACTGCTGCAGGGGAAGGGCCCTGGGGGTGCACTTCCGCACCAGACCTCACCCCGGGCTCCACCTGCTGCCCCTCCCTCCCCTCCACTGTGATGCCTAGTGTGGGAAGACCCCCCCATCCAGGCCCTGCTTCCTCTGAGCCGCCCTCCTGGGGCCTCCAAGCCCAGGTCTGAGGACATTCCCCCCACTCCCCCGCTGCCCAGCCAGCCTCACCGACAGTAGAAAGTGCAGCTCTTCGGCCGTGGGGCTCTGGGTGATGAAGCTCTGCAGCATGCAGTCCAGCGCCTCTGTGGTCTGGCTGTACAGGGTCTGCCCGTGTGGGGGAGGGGTGGAGGTCCCAGGTCTGCCCGCCCCTGGGGGTCCTATTGCCTGCACAGCCCCAGGCCTGGTGGCGGCCATGAGCGATGCCCAGAGTCCCTCTGCAGGGACAGCTTCTATTATTTAACAGAACCTAGGAAGGAGCGGTGAGTGGGCCAGGTGCTGAGCACAGTCCCGGAGCCCCTCCTTCAGCCTGGCTGGGCAGCAGTGGGCTGGGTGAGGCCTGAGGGGGCAGGGCCAGGCTAAGTGGCTACGTGGTGAGACCGAGCCTGTCCCTGGGGAAGGTGGCTCCAGGGGTTGCAGGCCTTAGTGGCCGAGTTGGGATTCTTGGGCTCCTGCAAGGCTGGGAAACTCATCCTTTAGAGAGAGGCAACTCTCCCCCCTTGGGCTGCTGGGGAGCTCAGAGAGTAAAGAAGCCTAACTCTGCCGTGGAGCCAGCCACAGGGCCCTGCAGTGTGGTCAGTGCTGGGGTAGCCAGCCTCCCCCATGCTCGCGCTGAGGATCAGCAGGGAAGCTGCTCATATCCCTGCTCACAGGCTACTGCACAGCCACACGCATCCAGTATCTCATTTCAGTCACTTGGGTTGAAGACCACCCGTTCTACTCTTATCACCCCACTTCACAGGTGGGAAAGTGGTGCAGTTAGGAGACTGCCAGGGTCCCCGGCCCTGCCTGGTGGTGGTCAGGACCCTCCCACCCAGCCCCCTTGCTGGGCATGCCCTTGCGGGGGCCTCACCTGGATGTTGGGTGGCTCCAGAAAGAGGCAGGTGTGCTTCTCCAGGGCGTCCAGAAGCGGCAGAGCGAACACACTGCGGAGGCAGGTGGAGAGGAGCCGTGATTTCCTGTTCGTGTCCATGGGTGGCCTCAGCTTGCTGTTGGAAGACAGAGGGCAAGAGCCTGACACTGCAGACCTTTTAGCTTTCCGCCTCTTGCAGACTCGTGCGCACCCTGCCGCTCTGGTGCCCTTGCTGGCCCTCTGACAACTTAGGTGTGTGCCACCCGCAGGGCCTTTGCACTGGCTGTCCTGGCAGCCAAGGGTGTGCAGGGCTCACTCTCACCCTGCAGGGGCTTGGCTCAGGCCCCTCCCGGGGCATCCCAACACAGCCTCAGCCCGCGAGGATCGTGACCCCTCCCTGTCTCACTTCCCTGCTGCAGGCCCCCGCACTTCATCAGAGACACCTGTGGTCTGGGTACTGACAGTCCCTCCCCAATTATATGCTCTTGGAGAACAGGGACATTCCCTGCGTCCCCAGAGCCCAGGATGTGCCTGAAGAGCGCAGGAGGGTCTCATGCTTCTAGGAGGCCTGGGCACAGGGGCGTGGGGAGTCGGGTGCCTCGCGGGGGAGGGGCTGAACCAGTCTCACAGTGGATGTCCACCAGCTCCTCCTGCCCTCTCCCTGGGCTGTCCGGGTCGCCTGCCGCCTGCCTGTACTCTGCAGCCCCAGAGCAGGCAGCTCTGGATTCCCTGGGTCCCACTCCTAGGCATCCCCACCCAGCTAGGACAGGGACACCAGGTGTACCCTCACTGGTCTGTGGGTGGGGCCCTCAGTGGGGCTCTGTCTTGTGGCCTGGACCCCAAGCCCCTGGAGTCTGCCTTGACCCTCTCCTGGGGTTGACGGAGGTGTAGGCTGTTTCCACGTGTGCTTCCTTGCTTTCTGGACCCTACCCACCCTGGGGTCTTGCCAGTCACAGCTGTGACTGTGAGCATCTGGGGGGTCAGCTCCCCCAGGGAGAGGCTGTGTCCAGATGCTGCAGCCTGCGTGGGCTGCCCCTCCATGCAGGGCTTAGGCCCAGGCCTGCCAACGTCAAGCCAGGCGGGGGCTGCTGTGGGGAGGGCTGCGGCTGGGGGCCTACCAGAGGCTGCTGATGATGTGGAGGGCCTGCGGCCTGCTCTCCGTGCACAGCGCGTCCTGGGGCTCCTTCTCCATCAAGACCTGCAAGTCCCCAGGCCGGGGCCCCGCGCTCAGGCTCTGCCTGCCCGCCTTTGATACCAGGTCCCTGCTCGGCCTCCATGCCTTGGTGCCTGTGTCCCGTGACCCTGGCCCTCACCCACCCAGAGGGTCCTCTGTGGCTTGGGCCCTGTTGGGAGAGCCATAGCATAGCCTGGGGCCTGGCAGGTCAGATCTGGATCAGGCCAGGTACAACTGCCTGACCTGAGGCCAGTCTCCAGAGGCACTCCAGAGGGGCGTGGGGAGTCAGGTGCCTCGTGGGGGAGGGGCTGAACCGGTGACAGAACAGTGCCACCTGTGTCACCTGTGAAGTAGGTGGGCAAAGCTCGCTGTCTGCACCCAGCAGCAGTGAGGAGCTGGGCTGTTCTTGCCCCGTCAGTCACCTGTGCCCTTCCTCTGCTGCCCTGGCCTCCTGTGAGGCCCGATCCCTAGCGCCTGGTCTGGCCCCAGGCGGGCCAGCACTGCAGAATGGATGGGGCTGGCCTTTTTGGGCCTTGGTGGCATCACTTCCAGGTCTCTGTAACAGCCAGGTGATGGGGGACAGGAGCATTTCCAGGTGTGAGAGCCTGTGTGGGGCTTGAAGTGCTCTGGAGACCCACCCCGCTCCTCCAGCAGCGGCCACCAAGAAGGCCTGGTCTAGGAGCAGCCTCCGCCGGGGCCTGGTACGCACCATCAGACACTCGAGCAGCTCGGAGATCTGCGAGAACTCGTAGCTGTGGGCACCCTCATTCCGGCTGATGGCCCCCATCAGCATCAGGTTGGCAGTGAGGAAGCTCTGCTTCAGGGTCTCGTCCTGCATGGGGCCAGGCCCAGGACAAGGGGCACCGGTCAGGAAGAGGGCCCCGGAGTGCATGGGAGCCAGCAAGGGGTGAGGCTGATGTCTTAGGGGCAGTGGGGTCCTTGCTGATAGGGTGCAGCAGAGAGCACCAGCTGGGAGCCACCTGGGGATGTCTCTAGGAGGGGGCTGTGGTTTTGTTTAAAAACTGCAAACGAGGCGACAACACTTAAACTAGGCCACAGCCTGTGGGAGGTTCTGGGGCATGGCGGGCACCCAGTGGGTGCTGGGCAGTGCCGCCTGGTTGCAGGCTGCTGGTGCAGAGGAAGAGTCAGCCTCTCCGTAGCCCCGTCCACCAAAGTAACCCGGAGTGTGGGGTGGGGTCTTCCCCAGAGCCTGGAGGACAGTGGAGAAGGAGCTGGGGGCAGCCAGGGGCAGGGCCTGGTGGGAGTGGGGAGGTGGCTGCCCGCCCTGTGGATGCCAGGATCCCTGGGCTCTGTGACTGTGCTGGGGGTGCAGTAGGGCCCGGGAAGTTCCAGCGAGCAGCCCTGCCCCTACCCAGGAGCTGTAGCGGAAGTAGAATATCATCCTGGACAAGATGTTGTCCACCCACGGGAGAATGTGGGCCTTGGCACTGGCCGCCACCTGGCCATAGGCGAGGAGGATGGTGCTGCTGGCCCACTTCCAGCGCAGGTCCTCCGAGGTCGGGCCCTGGCACGTGGGGGCAGGGATGGTGCTCAGGCACCAGGGCAGGTGCTGAGAGGAAGGACCCTGCCCCATAGGCTGCTGGGGGGCAGGTGTCCCAGGGTGGTGGGCTTGTGCATATCTTAGGAAACCAGGGAGCATGGAATTGCCCCTCGAGGGGCTGAGCGACCCTGTGGGCCACCCAGGGCTGTGCGCAGGCTTGTTCAGCGCTGTAGGAAATGGCCAGTGTCCAGGCCTCCACCTTCCCCCTCTGTGGTGGCCCCTTCCCCAGGAGCCCAGGGCCTGGCCCCTCTTTCTGCTGGACAGGGCAGTGCCTAGCACCTGTACCCCCTTGGGCTGTGGGGGCCTGGGAGGGTGTGCCTAACAGAGAGCTGGGAAGGCACAGGGCTGCTCCCTCTGGGTGAGACACCCCCCCCCCCCGGGTGTCACCTGAGTACCCTGGTGGAGGTGTTGCCCTTAGTGACGAGGCACCTCTGAGGGCTGGAGACACAGGCTCCAGGCCCTGCTGTGCCACTTGCCAGCTGTGGGACCCCAGGGCGTCCTGGCCCTCACTGGGCATCTGGACAACTGAGCAGACCCGAAGGGTAGGCAGAGAACCCCTTCCCTCCTTGTGGCCAGGGCTGCCCTGGTCACATGGTGTGCTGCGTCCACCTTCATGGCTGCCCCTGGCCTGTCTCCCTTAGGATGGTCACATGCCTGAGGGCCGACCTCAAGCTGGCAGCGCTGTCCCCACACGGCTGGGCATGACACTGCTCCAGCTGTGCTGTGGGTGCCTCGGCTCACCTCAGCCCCAGGCCAGGTCGGGGTCAGTATTTAGGAGGAAGCTGAGGCACAGGGGGCCATGCTGCAGGTGGGACTGGAGGCAGGCTGTGTGACCCAGAGCCCGTGCTCCTGGCCCTGCCGTGCCCCGGAAGTCCCTGCTCGGAGGCTCTGGTCTTCATGGAGGATGGAGGCCCAGGACCAGCCCTGTGCTGAGGCCCGAGCAGGTACCTTCAGGGAGAAGCTGTGCAGGCTCCACTTGATGGGCCCACTCCGCCCGAACTGGTCCAGGATGGCCCAGACGTCATTCAGGTGGCGGCTGGCGGCCAGCCCCACTGTAAGTGCAATGCCCTGTGTGGGGGACCCAATGTTGTAGGCTGGACCTGGCCCCACACCCAGCCCACTCACTGGAACGGGATGGGGGGACTCAGCCGAGATCCTAGGGCATCTAGTTCCCAGCTGCCCGCTCTTCAGGACATGTGACTCGGCCTGACCCCTGGGGACATCTCTTACGGTCTGGCAGGTGGATGAAGGGAGGCGGGAGGCAGAGGGGGGCCCTGGAGACTGGTCATCTCTCCCACCAGCTCTAAGTAGGCCTGATCAGGGGTAGGAATGAAGAGACAGATGTGTGGGGTGGAGCAGGAGGACCCCAGCTGTGGGCAAGGTCCGGGGTGAGCCAGGACTGGGCCTGTGGCCAGGGTTCAGCCTGTCATCAGGGTCCAGGGCTCAGTGCATGGCCAGGGCCCAAGCTGTGAGCAGGATCAGAGTCCAGTGTGAAACCAAGGTCGGGGTTTCAGCAGGGAGATGGCTCAGCCAGGATGGGGGCCGACACCAGTGTGTGGCCAGTTGTGGGGACAGAGTGGACTGGGTCCTCACCTCCCTCTGCTTGGACCACTGGTGGGAGGTTTCCAGGAGGGACCGCAGGTGTGCCCTGACCGTGGTGCTCTCCTCCTCTGCCTGGAGGACCATCCCGTAGAAGGTGAACAGGAAGGTCTGAGGAGAGGGAGCATCCTGTCCGCGGCTGGACCCTCCTGGCCGACTGCCTCCTCCTCAGCAGCCTCCCTGACCTGCCCCTGGGCCCTCAGAGCCCTCACCAACAGCCTGGGGCTGGCTGCCCCGCTGGCCTGCAGCAGGATGGGCTTCTAGTCCTGCTGCCCAGACCCACCCGCTTCCTCTGGGTCCACCAGTTTCCTTCCAGGATCTGTGTGTCCTGTGGACAGTGCGTGTGGGGGGTGGGGTGGGGTGGGGGCTACCGGGAGCAGGGCCCACCTTCTCTGGTAACTCTTCCTGCTGGGTACGGCTGGGCGTGGTGAGGGCCGATAGCAGCTCCCTGGACCACATGTCTGTGTTCAGGAACGGGACGGACTTGGCAGCCACCTGTGAGCAGACAGGGTGGGCAGGCTAGATTGTCCTTCCCTCCACTCCCAGAGCTGGGACCTCTACCAGCCCGCCTAGCCCCAGGCAGTCCTGAGTTCTGAAACCCGTGCCCTTGGTGCCTCCCTCCTCTGGGTCTCCAGACCACTCTTTTGTTTGATAGCACTCAGGGGTGGGGGACATTCCTCAGGACGCCCCTGGATGTGTTCAGGTCGAGGCAGGAAAATCAGAAGCCCGGGGGGCAGGGGAGGGCTGCAGGGTGTGGTCCCGAATCCGGCTCTGGCCCGTCTCACCATGACAGATGCTCATGTGGGCTGAGGACGCCCCTCTGCAGGGGCAGGACACACTGTGTCCCAGGGCCTGGAAGTGCCTGGCACATGGAACATGCTCTCACGTGCACTCTGGTCAGCAAGAGATCAAGTGGGTGAGTGGACGCAGGACTCAGGGAGCCCAGGTCACACGGCTTCATAAGGTGGAGGCAGAAGATCTGTCCATTTCTGACATTCCCACGTTCTGGGACTCAGCAAGTCCAGGGTCCCCCCCACCAGATTCTCCTGGTCAGGGAGGCACCCCTCCCTTGCATAATTTCAAACCCCAGATCTTAAAAGACTGAGGAGTGCGATGGTCAACACTGAAGGAGGCGTGTTAAGGAACACCGTTACAACTGAAGCAGAAAGACTGTTTCTTTTGCTGTCATCTGTTGCCGGGGGCAGATGTCAGTAGCAAGAAATGGCACTTTATCAACCCACAAGCAAAGGCAAGCCATCTGCTTGAGACTGAGGAGAAGACGCAGGATGAAGGTCCACAAACCCAGCTTTGCTCAGATTTAGGGAATGGCTGTTAAGATGCGCACCGTGGTGGCCAAGGTTGACGGAAAGTGAAACCCGAGCAAGTCACATGCTGCATGATGTCAGTGAGGGACCACACAGGACCCTGTCCCCTAGGTTGTCATGGGCTGGAAGGTTCCTGTTGCTGAGTGACGCTGTGGCCATCCTCACATCTTTGCTCACGTGTTTGTGGCGATGACAGTGGAACTGGCCCTGATGCTGGGAGGGGTGGTCAGCAGCGGCGTGCCTGGTTTACGTGTCTGCTACATTCTTTTCTGTATTGTAGGGGGCGCCCTTGCCCTTCTGTGAGGCTGCGGACTGCAGAGCTGGTGAGGCCTCTTGGGTCTTGTGCTGACCAGAGTCTCTGCATTCCATCGAGAGGCCACAGGAGCAACAGCTCGCAGCTCTTAGGACTAACCTCAAGGTTGGCAAGACTAACCTCGTGGAAGTGTCTTTAGTGGGAAGGTGGTTAGATCTGCAGATTTTTTTTTTAAGGTTTTGGAAATATTAATGTCAACATCAATCAAAGCTTAAAATATCACGCATTTCCCCCAGTTAAGTCTAGTTTTAGGAATTTATCCTGAAGAAATAATTTACCATGGAGAAACGTCTTGTTGGGCAGAAGACAAGCTTAGAGTGCCCCCTGCAGGGGAGATCTCCTCAGCCCTCCCTGGTGCAGATCCTTGGGTCCCTGAAATGGAGACTGCTCCCCACTTAGGGTAGAGTCTGTGCTCCACTTCTGGCTTACTTGCTGATGCAGGGGTGCAGCAGACCATGGGTGGCTGTTATGGTTGAGGTATGAGGTGTCCTCAAAAGCTCACGTGTGAGACAATTCCAGAAAGTCCAGACGGGAAATGATTAGGTTAAGGCAGCTGTGACATAACCACGGGTTAATCAACGACTTGGATTAGCTGGGTGGCAGCTGGAGGCAGCAGGTCCCCGACGCGGGTTGTATTTCACCCCTGGTGAGCAGAGCTCTCCCTCTCTCTCTCTCCCTCTCTCTCTCTGCTTCCTGGTGGCCGTGTTCTGAGCTTCTTCCCTCTACCAGGCCTCTCCACCCTGATGTGCTGCTTCACCTCAGGTCTCAAGCAATGGCGTCAGCTGACCATGGACCGAACCCCTGAAACCAGGAGCCAAAATAAATTTCCCTCGTCCATGTTGCTCTGTCAGGTCTTTTGTTCACATTGATACATGAAACAGTGGCTCTCCACCTGTAGGACAGGTGACTGCGGGATCCTTATGAGACTCTGCCCACCGGGAAGTCCTCAGATAGCCCAGAAGTGCCAGGGGCTCCTGTCAACCCCCTTTCTGTATGTCTATTGCTGTAAGTACCAGCCCCCCAGGTTCTGAAACTCAGAAAACAAAAGCCCACGCCAGAGCTCTGCAGTGACCTCATTGGGTAGCAAAAATTGACCCAAACGGATGCAGCACGATCCATGGGAGTTACTGTGAGTATTTGGTATCTACGTGAAGAGTTATCACTGCATTTGGTTCTGCACCTGCTCCAGACCCTTCTTCTAGATGTCTGAGGAATATACAGGATGGACATCATTTTGTTTTATTTTTAAAAAAATCTGAAATGTTCTGAATTTTGAAATATATCTGTTTCCAAGCATTTTGATTTTCAAAATTTTTAAGTATTTGAAAATCAAGCCATTTCTAAGTTACAGTGAGATGCACAGGTCTTCAGCGCACAGCTCAAGGATCTGAGCAGAGACCCACGTCATCCACACACCATCAAGATGTGGGGTGGGTGCTTTCACCCCAGAAAGCTCACTCACGCCCTTCCTAGGAATCCCCATCACCCCTGTCACTCCCAAGGTTTCTGACCGACCCCACTGCAGAGGGGCCTCCTCTTTCTGGAAAAGGGATGTTTCGATTCTGGTTCAATTCTCAGCATCCCCCCCACCCTACCCGGGGAAATGCTCCGCCTCCCAGGTAGCTGGGTTAAAGGCTGCCCAGAATGAGGCTGGTGGGGACTTCCTAGGAGGAGGGAGCCTGTGTGCACAAGCCTCTGCGTCTCTTGGGTACAATCCCTACAAGCGGAATTGCTGAGTGACAGCTGTCAGGTTCCCAAAGAGACAGCACCATGACAGTCCCACGGGCAGGGTTCCCGCCTCCCTGTCCTTGCCAACGTTGGGTGCCCTCACGTTTTTGTTTGAACTCTCAAGGGCCATGTGATGGCAACTCTCCAGCTCCCCGGGGACCACACTGTGGTCATCTTTCCTTTGCTCAGGGCCATTCCATGGTTTCCTGCGGGAAGCACCCGTCTGCATCTTGTTCACTGAGAGAGCAGAGCGGCTCAGTGTTCCCGCTGAGCTGTGGGAGCGCTTTCTCACTCTGTGCACAGTCCCTTGCCGGATGGACGTGGGTCTGTGCGTACTTCCTCCATGTCTGCGGCCCCTCTTTCTCTGTTTTGGATAAGCAGACGTTTCCATGGTAATGGAATCCAACTTGTCAATTCTTTATATTATTGCCTTATGAGTCCCAAGAAATAGTTACCTAGTCCAAGTTGGCAAGTTTATCCTGTGTTTTCTTCTAGGTGCTTTTTAAGTTTTGGCTTTACATTTAGATCTTGGTTCCAATTAATTTTTAAAGAATATTTATTTTTTATTGTAGTTGGACACATACCTTTATTTAATCTATTTTTATGTGATACTGAGGATCAACCCAGGGCCTTGTACGAGCTGGGGGAGCGCTCTGTCGCCGAGCCACAGTCCCAGCCTCCCAATTAATTTTTGAAAGTGGTTTAAGGTAGACAATAAAGTTCATTTTCCCCTCAGAAACAGATAGTTGTTCATGAACCTTGTTCAAAAGACTTTCCTTTCCTGGTTGAATTGCTTTGGCAGCTTTAAAAATCATTAGAGTATGTGAGTGTGGTTTTATGAGGGATTTTCTAATTATTTATTTGTTTCACCAGAGCCAGTGCCTCATCTTTCTGTTTTCTGTGCCTTAGAGCCAATGATCTTTTACTATGGTTTTAGACTTTTACAAAAATCTCAAAATCAAGTTGTGGAATTCTTTCAACTTTGTTTTATATAAAAGGATTATTTTAACTACTTTAGGTCCTTTGAAATTTCCATGTACAAATTTAACCTATAGATTATATTTATTGCCTCCCCTGATATCTTCTGCTATCTATTGCTCATTCAATAGCATATTATTTATTTTCCAGGTGTTGGAATAGCTTCTATTCTTTTATTTTATTATTGATTTCTAATTTCATTCCATTATGATCTGATAACACAGGGTAGTATCTCTGTTTTTTTATATTTGCAGATAGTTGCTTTGTGCATAATATATGGTCTATTTTAGAGAAGGATCCATGTGCTTCTGAGAAGAAAGTGTATTCACTTAATGATGGATGAAATACTCTATATATGTCTGTTAAGTCTAAATCACTGGTTGAATTATTGAGTTCCAAAGTTTGTTTAGTTTTTGTTTGGAAGTCTATCCAGTGGTGAGTCACTCATTATTATTGTGTTGTGGTCTATTTGCTTCTTGAAATTGAGAAGGGTTTGTTTGATATACGTAGATGCTCCATTGTTTGGGGCATAGATATTTACGATTGTTATGTCTTGTGATGATTCCCTTAAGCAGTATGAAATGACCTTCGTTATCCCTCTGATTAACTTTGGTTTGAAGTTCACTTTATCTGATATGAGGATGGAAACCCCTGCTTGCTTCCGCGGTCCGTGTGAGTGGTATGTTTTGACCCACCCTTTCACCTTCAGTCTGTGGATGTCTTTTCCTGTGAGATGAGTTTCTTGAAGGCAGCATATTGTTGGGTATTTCTTAAAAACCCAATCTGCCAGTCTATGTTTTTAAATTGATGAGTTTAGGCCATTAATATTCAGGGTTATTATTGAGACGTGGTTTGTATTTCTGGATATTTTGGTTTATTTTTTTTAACTTCACTTGGTTTCTCCTTTGATTGGCTTTTCCTTTAGAGTAGTTCCTCCCTTTGCTGATTTTCATTCTTGTTTTTCATTTCCTCCTCCTGGAACATTTTCCCGAGAATGCTCTGTAGTGCAGGCTTTCTAACTGTAAATTCTTTTAACTTTTCTTTATCATGGGAGGTTTTATTTAGTCATCAAATCTGAAGCTTAGTTTCGCTGGACATAAGATCCTTGGTTGGCATCCATTTTCTGTCAGAGCTTGGTCTATGTTGTTCCAGGATCTCTTGACTTTGAGGGTCTGGGTTGAGAAATCTGAGATTCGAATTGGTCTCCCTCTCTATGTGATCTGAAACTTTTCTCTTGAGGATTTTAACATTCTATCCTTATTCTGTATGCTAGGCATTTTCATTATAATGTGCCTTGGGGTGGATCTGTTGTGATTTTGTACATTTGTGTCCTGTGATCCTCTTGTATTTGGTTTTCCAATTCACTCTTCATGTTTGGGAAATTTTTATATTATTTCATTGAATAGATTCTTCATTCCTTTGGTTTGTATCTCTGTGACTTCCTCTATCCTAATAATTCTTAGATTTGGTCTTTAGATGTTATCCCATAATTCTTGGAAGTTCTATTCATGGTTTCTCACCATCTTCACTTGCTGTCAACTTTATTTTCAAGATTATATATTCTGTCTTCATTGCCTAAAGTTCTGTCTTCCAGGTGATTTAATCTGTTGTTGACGCTTTCTTCTATTGAATTTTTTTATTTGGTTTATTCTTTCTTTCATTTCAAGAATATCTGTTTTTTTTTTTTTTTTCAGAGACTATCTTTTTCTTGAAGTAATCTTTTCTACCTGTATTTACTCTCTTGTCTCTTTGTTGGAGTGGTCAGTTGCTGCCTGAGTTTGCTCTTTTATATCATTCTTTCCTTGCAGATCATTTTAATCCTGTACATTCTGAACTTCTCTGACGTTTCATCTGCTGTCAGTGGACTCCATTATTGTAGCAGTTGGTTTGTTTCTGGCTCTTCCTTCCCTTGTCTCTCATGTTGTCTGTGTGTCTTCCTCTCTAGCAGTGGGGAATCCAAGGTACTACAGTTTCTACCCTATAATCTTGTAGTGTCCCTGCAGGGACCTGGATGATGGTCTTTTAAAATATATTTAATTCTGCACCAAAGCCTCTGGGACTTTTATTGGCTTTTAAAAAATTAATTTTGGACTGTCATATCAATTTTGGGAGACTTGATATCCTAGCATTACTTAATTTTCTTATTCATGAACACCATACATCTCCATTAAAAATTTACTTTTTGTAATACTGTCAAGATCTTGTACATATTTCATCCGACATGTCTTTCATATCTTTCATGCTGATGTGCCATTTAAAAAAACCATTTTCCAATTATTTGTTGCAAATAAATACAAATTCAGTTTATTTCTATATGTTAATCTTATATCCTGAGATGTTGCTAAATTCAATTATAAGTAATTTTCAGTTATTTTAGATTCTGTAAGATTTTCTGTGTATGCAACCATGTTATCTGGAAAGCAAGACAGTTTTACTTTTTCAATTGCAATCTGTATGACTTCTCTTCTTTTTCTTACCTTATTGCATTGATTAGAAATTGTAGTGCAATACTGATGATGTGGAAAAACTGGGCATCTTTGCCCTATTTCTCCTGATCTTAGCAAGGAAAGTCAGTCTTTGTCAGTAAGTGTGTTTGCTGTAGATTCAGAAGCCTTGTCAATTGGGAAGTTTCTTTTTACTCATGGTTTGTTGAGAGCTTTTTAACACGAATAAGTATAAAATTTTGTCAAATGCTTTTTCTTCATAATTTTTATTAAATATGATCAGACTTTTTCTAGTTTATTCTATTGGTGTGTTGAATGACATTTATTGCTTTTCATACAATAGGTCGACCTTGTGTCTCTCAGATAAACGCTGCTTAATCATGGTGTGTTATCCTTTTATTCAGCATGTTAATATTTTGTTAAAAGCCTTTGAATCAATCTTCATGGAAAATGAACTGTAGTTTTACTTCTTTTATTTTTTTTAATGCACAATACCTTTATTTATTTATTTATTTTTATGTGGTGCTGAGGATTGAACTCAGTGCCTTGCACATGGGAGGCAAGTGCTCCACAACTGCAGCACTGTAGTTTTATTTCTTATGTCATTAGTTTCAGTATCATGGATTTGCTGGCTTCATGAAATGACTTGGAAAGACTTCTTTCTCCCTCTATTTTCTTGAAATAATTTGTGTAGAATTGGTATTATTTTTTTCTTAACTACTGATAGGATTCACCAGTGAAGTGTCTGGGCGGGGAGTTTTCTTTGTGGGAATGAGACAGAGGGAAGACCTGGAAAAAAATCACCTGCTCTTAGCTTTTGAGTAGACCCTCTGGACTCACCTGCTCTTAGTCACTTGCTTTTAGTTGACTATACCTGACATTGCTGATGTGAGGGTCACGGTGTTGACAGTTGTTAAGTTGATCCAGTTGCTTTCCCTATGCCTCATCCCATAAATAGCCCCAAACCCTATAATCAGGCAGGTGAATTTCAGACTTGCTCTCCCATCTCCATGCTCTTGCCTGGTGAATAGACTCTCTTTTGTAAGACTCTTCAGTGTTTGACATGTTGCGTGGAAGGTAAAATGGATGTGGCTTGGTAACCAGAAGGTGTTAAATTATACTACCAGTTTAGTACATATAGGACTACACAGATTTTCTATTTCTTCTGGTGTCAGCTTGGTAATTTATGTTTTTCAGGGAATTCATTGCATCTTTAGTCTGATTTATTGGAATCATATTTCATTATCATCCTTTAATATCTAAAGGATTTGTAATGTTCCTTATTTTTTTCCTGAAACTGACATTGTATGATTTTTCACTTGATCAGTTTATTAATTTATTAATCTTTTGATGATACTTTTGGTTTTATTCATTGTCTGTTGTTTGTCTCTTTTTTAGTTCTTTAACATATGGTTTAGTATTTATTATTTTCTTCCTTCTACTTTTTTTGGGTTTAATTTGCTCTTTTTTCATAGTTTGTTAAAATGAAGATTTAAATAATTTTATACATTTCTCCTGTTCTAATATAGGCATTAAAATACAAATTTCCCAGCACTGCTTTTTGTCATATCTCACAAATGTTTCTATGTTGTGTTTTCATTATCATTCAATTAAAATAAAAATATTTTCTAGTTCTCTAGTGATTTCTTCTTTGACCCATGGATTATTTAGAACTGTGTCATTTAATTTCCAAGCATTGGAGTTTTTCCAGATACCTTTTAGTATTGACCTCTAATTCATGTTTTGCTCAGAGAAAGTACTGTTTGACTTCAGCCCTTTTAAATTTATTGAAAATATTGATAGATGCCAGTGTGTGGTGAGCTACGGAATGTTCTATTTGCATTTGAAAGGAATGTCGATTAGATCAATTTGGTTAATTGCGTTGTGCAGGTCTTCGGTTTCCTTAGTGATTTCTGTGTCTGTTCCATTAATGACTCTTGTTCAGCGCTGTGACAGCGTGACCAGCGCTGAGCCCGGCTCGCCCTGTGGGTGCCTTGCAAAGGCTCCATGGTGCTCAGCGCCCACGGTCTTCACGGCGGCGGCCCTTTGAGCCAGGACTTTTATCCTCATTGACGGATGGTGAACTCAGGAACAGCGAGGCTGATGAGGCCACCGGGCCACACAGCTGTGATTGGTTGAACGTGACCCAGGTCTGCCGCGGCCCATGTCCCTTCTCTCAGGTTTGTGAGCTCCAACTTGGGGGTGTGTCCGATGGGGCTGCCCTGAGATGGAGCACCCCAGTCTGCTTCCCCCTTTCAGCTCGGGCCCCTGTGTCCTCTCTGGTCCCTGGCCATCGTGGATCCAGGTCCTGGGCAGAGTGGAGGGCCTGTGTGTGGACACCTGCACTGCCTCAGGACCAGAGACCCAGGCTCCAGTCCCCACTGTGGCTAAGCCCCCTCCCGTCTGCTCATCTGTACGTGGGGAACATCCCTGCTCCCTCCCCCTCTCCTCCCTCCCCCTCCCTCCTCCTCCCTCCCCACTGTACCCTCCACCTGGCCTGGCTGCCCACAGAGGCCCAGGGCCAGCCGGTCTCCCTGCCTACCTGGGCCAGCAGGTTCTCCCAGCGCGCCCTGTCTTCCCGGTTCAGAAGCTCCTCTGTGGGAGACGGAGGTGGGCTGCAGCCAAGTCTGAGCTCACAGCCAGACCTCCAGCCCTCAGACACTGAGTCGGGGGACACTGTCCTGCCTCTGCCTGGCCTGGCTCCGGGGCAAGGGGAGGCAACCAGGAGGACCGCAAGCCAGACTGGAGTTGGTCAGGTCCAGGGAGCTGGGTTGGCATTATGGCCCTGGCCCCTTGTGTGTGGCCTCACAAGGCCCTGTCCTTCTCTGGACCTCAGGCTGTCTAATGGTGACAGGAGGGACTCCTCTGAGTAGGGCCTTTAGGGTGTGCTGAAGTTCCTTCAAGTTTGGGGAAATAAGGCTCAGGGAGTCTTGTGAGGTGAGAAAGCCTTATGGGAGATTTGGAAATCCCACCTCAGGAGTAGGGGCTGCTTTGGAGGCCCCTCAGGTGCAGAGGGACCCTTCCCAGCCTTTGCCAGTTCCAGGGTGGAGGAACAAGGCCAGGCTAAGCTGAGTCCTGCCTGGTTCCGGGCCCGGTCCTAGGAGGCCTCTTGTCTCCTCCCTGCTGCCCCTGGGCCCTTGCACGGCCAGCTCTCCTCCAACTCCTCTGCTTCAGCTGCAGTTCCCGCCAGTACCTGCTGGGGGTTGGGGCACAGCAGCCTGGTGCCACCCACATGAGCCTCGCTGTCTCAGGGTGGGTGTGCCTCCCCTCAGATCTGCCTCCAGGCCCGGCCCCCCGCCCCCCACTGCAGGCAGCACATACCATGGGAGGACAGGGTGCCCATCACATAGAGGATGCTGCGATGCGGGAAGACACCTGTCAGGAACTCCGTCTCCAGGTGCTGGGCCACCTCCGGCCACGAGTGCCTGCAGAGGGCCACCAGCACGTCGCTGGCCGCGTTCTGGTACATGTCTTCAAGCTCCTGGGGGGGCGGGAGGGGGAGTCAGGGCAGGCAGAGAGCCCGGCACCTCCTGCCTGTGGTTTGCTCGACACAGCATTTGGGGGATGGAAAACGGAGGCTGATAGAGTAGGGAAAGCATCCTCAGCGAGAAGAGTGAAGCAGGGGGCGTCCAATACCAGAGCTTAAGCCACACTACAGAGCTACAGTGACCAAAACGGCTGTGCTGGCACCAAAACAGACCTGTAGACCAGTGGTGCAGAACAGAGGACACAGGGACAGACCCACATGAGTACGGCTACCTCATACGAGACAGAGGCACCGCAAAGATACACTGGAGAAAGAAAAGACAGCCTTCAACACACGGTGCTGGAGACCTGGAAATCCATATGTAGCAGAGTGAAATTAGACCCCTGTCTCCCACCCTGCACAAAACTCAAAGTGGGATCAAGGACCTTGGCATTAGGCTAGAGACCCTGAGCGTGCAAGAGGAAAGAGGAGGCTGAACTCTATCATTCTGGCTTAGGAACTGACCTCTCAACAAGACTCCTAAAGTACAAGAAGGAAAATCAAGAATCAGTAAATGGATGGAGTCAAACTAAAAAGGTTCTTCATAGCGAACAATGTCAAGAGAGAGCCTACGGAAGGGGAGAAAATCTTGACCACACTCACCTCAGATAGAGCATTGATCTCCAGGATATATCAATGACTCAATAGACTTACCACCCAAACCCCAGATAACCCAATCCATCGTGGGCTAAGGGACTGAACACTTCACAGAAGAAGAAATACGATTGGTCAACAAAGTGAAAAGTGTTCAACACCTCTAGCAATTAGAGAAATGCAAATTAAAACTCCATTGATAGTTCATCTCACTCCAGTCAGAATGGCAGTTTTAAAGAACACAAGTAACAATGAACATTGGCGAGGATGTGGGGAAAGGCACACTCATTCACTGCTGGTGGGACTGCAAATTGGTGCAGCCACTCTGGAAAGCAGTATGGAGATTCCTCAGAAACTTGGAATAGAACCTCTTTGACCCAGTTATCCCACTCCCCAACATATATGACAAGGACTTAAAATCAACATACTATAGTGTTGCAGGCACATCAATATTTATAGCAGCTCAATTCACAATAGCTAAGCTATTGAACTAACCTAGGTGCCCCTCAACAGATGAATGGATAAAGAAAATGTGGTCTAGGGGCTGGGGTTGTGGCTCAGCGGTAGAGTGCTCGCCTCGCATGTGCGAGGCCCTGGGTTTCATCCTCAGCACCACATAGTTGTGTCCAACTACAACTCAAAATAAATATTAAAAAATGTGGTCTATATACACACACACAATGGAATATCACTCAGCCATAAAGAAGAATGAAATAATGGCATTAGCTGGTAAATGGGTGGAACTGGAGACTATCATGCTAAGTGAAATAAGCCAATCCCCAAATCAAGGCAGAATATTCTGTCTGATATGTGGGTGTGACTCACGATAAGCAGGGTGGGAGGAGGAATGGAAGTTCACTGGATCAGGCCAAGGGGAAGGGAGGGAAGGAGGGGGATGGGAATGGGAAAGACAGTAGAATGAATGAGACACCCCTTTCCTGGGTTCATGTGAACCTCACACCATGTCCGACCACAAGAATGGGAGCTGTACGCCCTGTAGGTAGGGTACGTCAAACCCATTCTCCGTCACGTCTAACCAAAAAGAACAAATAAAAAAAGAAAGAAAGAAACAAGAGGCCCAGGGAATGGAGGGGAGCTCTGTGCCCAGGCTCTGGACTCTGGGTTCCCTTAAGTCCCAGAACACACTGTCCTCCACCCTGCCTCAGGGCCTTGCTTCTGTGGAGCCGCCTGCCCGGTGCTGCCTTCCCACTGGCCCTCTGTCCAAGCCCTCGCTTTGTCTAAGGCCCACTCCCGGGCACGCTCAGGACATGTCACGTCCTGTAACGTCACCAAGAGTTCAGAACCCAGGCTGTGCTCCTGCCGGGACTCTCCGCCTGCAGGGTGGGCTCTTGGTTGCCCCAGGCCCAACAGAGCCACCCTTGGGCAGGAGCCAGCCTGTGCCCGGAGCTGGCCCTGGGCGGCCACCGGCCTTCTCAGCTGCCGTGGGATTCTGTCATCTGCATCCCGCACGGCAGCTGGAGGAGGGGGGCGCAGCAGAGACCCTGCCTTAGGTGGCATCTGAAGGAGCAGGTGTCCAAGGGCCCCTCCCTGCTCTCAGGAAATGGAGAGGTCATTGCAGTTCTTTGAAAGCACACGGTTGTGAGGGCTTCTTAAGAGGATGGATTGGATCTGATTTTGCTTAAAAAAAGAAAAACCCTCATTTAAAACTACATTTGGGAGAATTTAAAAAGGACAACAGCAATCATATTCTCAGAGCTGGAAGCAGACAGTCGAGAGATTCCAAGTCCAAGAGCTAAGCCCACAACCTTGCGTGGACCCAGGGAGAGGTGCGCCTTGGTGGAACTCCAGAACTCGGGTGCTGTGAGCCCCCGGGGAGGGCAGGTCCTACAGAAGGGTGGGCGTCAGGACGGCCTGGGCCTCCATGGCTCAACAGAGGGCCGAGGACGAAGGGACGGCGATCTAGAGTCCAGGGCCCCATAGGACACAGAGGGTTCTGGAAACTCGTAGCTCATGGTTTACTCCCCAAACACTCTTCCGGAGGAAGCAGCTGGAGATGAGTGTCTTCTGCGTAGGAATCGGGGAACAAGGCTGCTCAAATCATGTTACGTGCACGTGGTGGGAGGAATCCACTGTCACGTATAATTACAATGCAACAGTGAAAAATGAATGTTAAAAGTTGGCAGCAGAACAACAATAAAAGGCATTTTTTTTTTTTAAAAGCAGCCTATAATCCCAGCAGCTTGGGAGGCTGAGGCAGGAGGATCATGAGTTCAAAGCCAACCTTCAGCAAAAGCAAGGTGCTAAGCGACTCAGTGAGACCTGTCTCTAAATAAAATACAAAACAGGGCTGGGGGTGTGGCTCAGTGGTCGAGTGCCCCTGAGCTCAATCCTCAGGCCCCCCTCCCCTCCAAAAAATGTATCTTTGCCTGAAAAATAAATTTGATATATGGCAGAGGAGGGAATGAATTGGGAAGGAGGAAGACGTGGGGTGTAGCAATGGGGTCTCCTAATGGAAAGGGTGGTGGGAGTCCCAGGGCAAGGCAGACCCCAGGATGATGCCCAGCACTGCCCCGGGAGGGGTCCTGTCCGCGTCCAGGGAGACTGAAGTCAGACCCCGAGCTGTCCTGTGCGCTCAGTTCCCTGCACCCGCCCTGTCAGCGCTTTATCATGACAGAAGCCACACATGTCTAAACAGACCCCGAGCACGCCACAGGAGCAAGGTCGTGCACACACACACACACACACATAACACATGCACACGTGCACACACACACGTGTGTGTGTGTGTGTGTGTGCATGCACAAGTTTAAACAGAGAAAGGAGCAGGTGGACCTGCCGCGGTCCCCTCTGTCCTTCCCTCTGTCCTCCCCGCCCACGGTTCTCAAGCTCTCTGGGGTGCACCTGCTGTCTACCCACGAGGCTGTCCCCTGGCCAGTCCCACACTCCAGCCTCCCTGTCCTTCTGTAGAATGGGGCCAGAGCGCCTGTTGGAGGGCCACCCGGGTGGGCTCTGCGCTGGCCTTTGACGTCTGCTTGTCCTAATGAGCTCCCTGTAAGGCTGTGAACACGGCCCAGGAAGGACACAGGCCCCTCACCTCCTGGCAGGGGGGATATCTATCACAATCGTGCCATCCTTCCCCAACCTCGGACACCGGCCAGCCCCAGACCCTTGGTGGCCCAGGGGACATCTCACACTGTGCTGCCCACGCCCACAGGCCTAAGGCATGGCTGCTGCCCGCTGCCTGGCCTGCGAGGGACAGGCCCCTGTGGCCCTGTGTGGCCTGGGCGCTGCACTAAAGACCGTTTCCCAGTGGCATCGGCCTCCTTGTCACTGGCACGACATCCTGGGTCAAGTGGCCTAGTCACGGCTTGGTGGTGCTGTGGCCTAGACTGCGGGGGGCCTGGCCACTGCCCTCTGGCCACCACTCGCCTGTGTGGGTGAGGACCCCACCATGGGGCTGCCGGGCTACCTGGTCTGAGATACACCCCTGTCCCCACAGCCCTGGAGGCCATCACTGGAGACTGCTGCTGGCCTGGGGATGAGGCTGTTCAGGTCCAGTCCACACACCTCCATGGGCAGCAGCCCAGGGGCAGGAGCCGAGGGCTGAGTTGCAGCCTGGGGAATGGGTTGGACTGGCACTTAGGTCTCCCAGAGGCTGGGTGTGGGCAGCCACAAAGGGATAGTCAGGGAGTCTCAGCTTCCTCAGCCCCAGAATGCATGGACCTGTCCCTCTGAAGGGCCAGTGGTGAGGACACAGGAGTGGACACACACCGTCTGGGGGACCATGAGACCCAGCAGCGCTGCGTCATTGGGATCCCTGGGGAGCCACTTGCATCCCCAAAGCCCCTGGGGGAGTGGCCATTGGCCAGGACGGGGGAGACCCACCGTGGACTTGGTCATGTTCTCCAGGGCCAGCTGCATGAAGCGCCTCTTCCAGATGTCCTCCATGACGTCACTGGCGCCAATGACATTCTTCAGGACCTGGAACAGCCGGAACTTGTGCCGGTTGGAGATCTATGGACAGCAGAGGAGGTGCTGGACGGTTGGGTCTGGTCACACCCGGGATGCCAGCAGGAGCACTGGACGGAGGGAGGCAGAGGGGAGGCCAGGAGTGGCTGTGTGTGGCCATGCACTGGGCAGCCCTTAGGAAATGCCTGCTCCGTGCAGGCCTGGACAGGAACCAGAGCCCACGCGGAAGGGGATCGTCCCCATCTCAGGTAACTGCTGTGGGAATGAGCAGAGTCCACGCCCGTCCGGGCAGTCATTGTCCATGCAGCCCCCAACTCTGTCCACCCACCCTCCATCCATTTCTGCCCCCACTTCGCTCAGCTTCAGCTCCCCAGTCTGCGAGGATCAGAGTGTTGCCTCACCAGAGTGTTCTGAGGGCCAAGCCGTGTCCACTCCCTCCTCCTTCCTCAGCCCATTCAGCACAGGAGGACGTTGAGTCTTGCCCCAAATGAGTACAATGGAGGACAGGAGCCCCTTGGGGTCTAGCGCCCTCATGTCTGCTCCCAAGGGCCCGGGCACGCCCACCTTTGGGTTGTCTGCGAAGTAGTCGTGGATGGTCTCCATCACCAGGTAGGGGGACCCCTGAGCCATGTCCTTGATCTTCTTGATGATGTACTTCAGGTGCAGGGGGTCTGAGCTATTGATGTCCCGGAGCATCTTGAAGCAGATGGCTGAAGTCGGCAAGAAGGGTGTGAGGGGTTGGGCTCACCTCGTGGCCGCAGGGCTGGGTGGGCAGGGGAAGGAGGTCGGGGGGCAAGGAGGGAGCTGCACGCCAGGAGGACCAGGTGCCTGGGCAGTCCTGGGCCTCCTCGCTGCCCAAATGTCCTCACGGGGCTTGAGAGGGGCAAAGAGCAGGAATGCCTTCCAGTCTGCCTGTCCTGTGCACCCACGTGGATTCCCACCCACTCACTGACCTGCCCACCTCTTCATCCACTCATCCATTGTCCACTCATCTGTCCATCACCCACACATTCATCCCTATATGTTAGTCCACCAGTCCGTCTACCTATCCATCTTTTCATTTTTGCACTCATCTACCCACGCACCCACCCATGGTGCATAGGTCCATCCATCTGCCCACTATCATCTGTGCATAGATGGGTCCATCCACCTGTCCATCTTCCTGTCCACCATAAATTCATTCATCCGTCCTTCTCTCCCTCCATTCCCCATCCTCTGATCCTCTCACCCTCCATGAGGGGGAAAGCGTTGCAGGGAGAGGTCAGGCCTGCGCTGAGGCTCTGAGGTATGAAAGCGAACGGAGGGGAATGGGAGGTAGGATGGCAGATGGGTACTTGGGGGGTGTTGGATGGTGCCCCAAGGGGGCATGGGGAAGCCAAGGGAGGAGCAGGGCTCCCTGCTGGAAGCTCGGTGAGTGCGCACCCCGCGCCATCTCCAAGTCCTGGAGAGGACCCCCCTCTTGCCCTGACCCTCAGGACTGCGTCCAGTGGAGGAACAGGGTAGGGTTTGCTGGAAGCCGACCCCCGTGCACCCCCTCCTTGCCCTGGCCGAGTCCCAGGCCTGGTGATCACCTGCATTGTAGGCCTCCTCCATGAACATCGTGTGCTCCTTGGGCATCAGGGCAGCCTGGCTGCTCCTGGACTTGCAGACCAGGATAGTGGTGTGTTGTGACTGCCTGTCTCTGCCGGCAGAGTCCTTTGGGGACTTCCTGCAGGAGGACTCCTTCGAGGGTCTTGGGACGTGGGAGGAGATTCTGAAAGGGAAGGGGGGGCTGGAGAGACGGCTGCGCACGTTTGTGTTCAAGATGGAAGCGCAGGATGCTGAGTCGCTGGGTTTGGATCAGGCTGGGAGGTGGCTCCCAGGGGTCTAGCCTTCCACTCACGGCCTGGCTGAGCCCTGGGAGGAGGCGGGGGTCGAGGTCTCAGGACACTATTGAGTAGAGTCACCTGCAGCCTGGTGGGAGCTGGCTTCCTGGCAGGGGCTGGTGACAGAAAGGCTGGTGGTGTGGGAGGGTTCAGGGCACTCCACCCCCAGCTCTGGCTCTGGCACTGACCGGGATGACCCCATATCTTCAGGACGGCATGGGAGACGTCCCTGACCGCCCAGGTATCCGGGGTGAGGTCCCTAGGTGAGGAGAGCTTTCGGGGCTCTCAGCGGGAGCACGGACAGATGTGGGGCCCCTTCAAGCTGGTGCTGGTCTCTCTCCTCTCCCCGCTCCCCCTGTCCTCCTGCAACGTGGGGGAGGATTCCCCAGAGGGACTCGTCGCCACAGAGGGCTCAAGGGAGGGCATCCCTGCTTCTGGGGCGGTGCCCAATCCTGGCTCCCCCCAGGGAGAGGTCAGGCTCTGCGGCCCCTCCTCAGGACTCATTGGCTCCATCCCCCTCAGTTCCCACTTCCAGGTGCCTCCCAGGGGGAGGCTGTTGGAGGCCTGGTCGCGTCAGTGCACAGGATGGACAGTCGGCCGACTGGACGAGGCCGTTGTGCAGCATGTTAGAAAGCTGCTTGCCACTTGACGTTTCATGCCTGCACTTGCCCACCACGTGGGAACGTGTGTCGGGTCCACCTGAGACTCCTCCTGTGGCTCCCGGTTCCACGCCAAGGAAAACTCAGTCCTGAGAACAGCACGCGGCACAGAGGCTCCCTGCCAAGCTGGAGCCACCAGGCCCGGCTTTGCTCCTGCCTTCAACACACAGAAACCGCAAAAATACCCCGGATCACGGCCGTCAGACACCACACCTCGGCAGCACAGAGATGACCCCTGGGAGGGGGCTGCGAGGGGCTCCCACTGCCACAGCTAGTGCCAGGACGGCTTCCCGCTCCCAGCGCAGGGACAGGGAACCAGGAGCCACAGCCTCTGTGAGAGGGGGAGCTGGAGGCGCCCGAGGCCAACGTGGCTGGAGCTCTCAGGGCAGAGCCGTGGGAGGAGCAGCACAGAGGGGGAGAGAATTCGGGAGATCTGCAGAAACCCACCCTCGTATCTGCACTCAGTGCAGCGGGAAAAGAGCCACACAAGGAGCCGAGCGCCATGCCTGAGCTCGGCGGCACTGAGAGGGGTTCCTTTTCCATCAACCATGCTCGGGAACCCGCCAAGCCCATGGGGCGTTCTAGAGGTCTTCTGCGTGGTGTGACCCCAGACATGGGAGAAAAGCAGCCCGAACAGGGTGCCCTCGCCCTCCCTTCCAAAGCTCTGACAGCAAGGACAAACTGTTTTCAATAATCTCACTGTGCTCCAGAACAAAGCTCAAGAGTACTTAAAAAGTAAAGGAGTATCCAAAACCCAACAAGGTAAAACTCACACTGTCTGGCATCTGATCAAGTTTACCAGATGTGCAAAGAAGCAAGAGCATAAGACCCCCTCGAAGGGGAGACGCAACGGGTCAGAAGCAACTTAGAAAAGGCAGAATCAGTGATCGACAAGGACATTAAACAGCTACACTTAGGTTCCGATTGGTGGAGTGAAACAAGAGGCTGAGAGACGGAAAACACCAAGAAGAATCTGAAAATGCTCTGCCGATTAAGACGGATGACTTTATCAGAGACAAGACCCTGTGGAGGGAAAGACAAACCTGAATAAACTTGAAGATCAACAGAAAAAATCCAATAATGAAACACCAGTAGAATACAGACTGGAAACACTGGAACCCAGGGTCAGCGCACTGTGGGACGCCCCAGAGGGCATGGTGCAGGAGCAATTTGAGTCTCCCCAGGAGAAGGAAGGGGGCGGAAATCAAATTTGAAGAGATGATATCTCAACACTTTCCAAACTTTACGAAAAGTATAAATCATATCCAGGAAAGCGAGAATTCCAAGTAAGAAATGCGAAGGAAGAGACACCAAATCATATCAGAATAAAATCGCAGATGGTGGGAGGTGGCGCACACCAGTAATCCCCGAGGCTGGGGAGGCTGAGGCAGGAGGATCGCAAGTTCAGAGCCAGCCTCAGCAAAAGGAAGTACTAAGCAACTCAGTGAGACCCCGTCTCTAAATGAAATACAAAATAGGGCTGAGTGCCCCTGAGTTCAATCCTAGTATCCCTCCACCCAAAAAATAAAATTGTGTACAACTAATGATAAGAGGAAATCTTTAAAAAGCCAAAGAGAAAGGCATATTAAGGACCAAAGACAGCACAGCTCGTCAGCAACAGGCAGGCAGGAAGGCAGCGGCGCATCATAGCGCTCAGGGAGGAGACCCCACTGACCCGCCAGACCAGCACTCTCTACCAGGGAAGCAGCCTTTAAAAGCTCCATGTGAAGCAGAAACCTTTCCACACACCAGACCCCTTGGGAACGCATCCCAGGACACCTGCACTGAAGACCCCCTGGAGGGGACCCAGGCAGGGGGTGACGTCAGAGGGAGCTGCACGAGAGGGGAGCACGCTGAAGTGGGCAAGGGGGCGGGAAATCCAACACACTGTGCTTTGTTTTTTAAATTTCAGCTAAAAATAATAACATATCGTGGGTTTCTAAAAATATAGAAAAGCAGCAAACAGCTACAATAGCAAAGGTCTAAGGACATTAAAATAAGATGTTCAAGATTCTTGTCCTCTAAGTGGCCAATGTGACTTGACGGTGGTCCGAGGTCAGCTGGTACCGTGTTCCACAACCACCACCCAACCACAGAAAGGGACGTTCCAGGGTAACAGTCACAGAGGACATAGACTAAGACCAACCCTATCGCCAGTCCCGCTAAATGTAAGGGACTTAAACACCACCATTAATAGCAGGGATCGTCAAATTGGGGAAAAAGCCAGAGTCAAGTGCACGCTGCCGACATTTAATATATGTAATCTAGTAGACACCAAGTGATGACAAATAAAGGGATGGAAAGAGATGGGCTGCTCACAGCAGCTAACAAAAACGGGCATCGCTCTGTTCCTATCAGACAAACTGTATTTTAGAAGTATAAATATACATATATGAGGTATTTATATATCAGGGAAAGGAGAATTCACTCAGAATGATAAAGGAACCATCTGTCACGATGACTACTTATGTTCAATAGAGCATTTATAAAGGGAAAATACAAAAGAGGCAGAAGTTTAAATATGATAAAAGATTAAGCATGTCAGTATTGAATGAAAAAGTAGAAGGAAAGCCCATACTTTACAGAACGCATAAAACTATGTGAAACTCCTGAGGCTGAGGGGTTGATCATGTGACCAATAAAATCAGATTACAAAAAAAAGAGAGAGAGAGATGACATTACAGTTGAATGTTCATGCGCCTCACAACAGAACTTCCAAACTCACGAGGCAAAGAAGCTAGAGGTGCGAGGAGAAATGACAGGTCCACCACCACAGTTCAACCCTTCGACACCCTCTCAACCACGGTCAGAGCGGTGAAGAAAACATCAGCAGGATCCCAAAGGTCTGCGCCACCGTCAGTGCCGCCAACGGCAGGAGAGGACCGCTCTCTTCAACACAGAGGGCACGTATGCCAGGACAGGCCATAAAATGTCTCAAGAAGTTTAAGAGGATTCAAATCAAACAAAACCTGGTCTCCGACCACGACAGAATTTAATTAGAAATCAATAACAGAGACAGATGGAAAGAAAGATCCTGGGGAATTTGGATACTAAATAACACACTTTCCAATAACCTATAGGGGAAGAAGAACTCAAAAGCAAAATAAAAAGTAATTTGAGTGGAATGAAAATGAAAACACAACGTATCAAAATGCCTTGGAGGGAAATCTACAGTATTAAGCGTGTATACCAAAAAAGAATAAAAGTCTGAAATCAATGACCTAGGATTCCACCTTCAAAACTAAAAATAGCAAATTAAACTCAAAGAAAGAAAATAATAAAAAGTAGAGCAGACATCAGTAAAACAGAGGACAAAAAATATAGAGAAAGTCAGAGAAACCGAAGGCTGGTTCTAAGAAAGAAAGAATACATTGATGAACATTTGGCAGGAATTTAGGGGGCAAAGAAAAAGAGAAGTTGCAAATTATTAACATCAATAATAAGTGAGGTGCATCATTACAGGCACCACAGATGTCAACAGGGTGGCAAGAAAATATCACGAGCAACTTCATGCCAATAAACTTGTCAACTGAAATAAAATGGGCAAATGTCTTAAAGCCACAAAATAGCACAGCTCTCCCAGGACTCACATCGGAATAGCCCTATGTCCACTACAAAAATTAATTCGTATTTAAGAATCTTGCCACAAAGAAAACTTGAGGTCCAGATGTTCCTTTAATCTTATCAAGCATTTAGGAAGAAATAATACTGATACCAAAACTCTTTCAGAAAATTGAAGAAGAGGGTACACTTCCCAACTCCTTCAGTTTGGCAAGCATTATTCTGATACCCAAACACACAATGATACTGCAAATAAATAAAAGTAGATCCCAATATCCTCCATTAACAGACACAAACTTTGTTAACAAAAGGATCCAAAATACAGACATACACTCATTCATCATGCCCAAGTGGGGCTTCTCTGGGGAACCCAAGGCTGCCTGAGGATTTGAAAATCAATCCGTGTACTTCACCATATTGACAGACTCATGAAGAAAATGATATGATCATCTCAATAAGCGCAGAGAAAGCATTTGACAAAATTCAACATCTAATCACAATAAAAACAGAAACTGAGGAAATTCCTTCAACCTGATAAGGGCATCTGTAAAAACCCTACAGTTGCATACTTAGAGGTGAAAGACTGAATGTTTCCCCACATGATTGGGACTGAGGCAAGGGTGAGCTGACCACT